ATGGCTGTCTGTTATAGTACTAATATGATGTTATTACGTGCTGCGTCGTCTCACTCACAGCATGACTATTATGTAATTTCTTCTGCTCCTTCTGTATTACTAGCAGTTGGTAACCCATTTAATTAGAGCAGGTAGTTATGGGATCTCAGCATAATCTGATAATTTGGTCAGTTCCCTTTTGTGTCCAGGTTGTCCTGGTTTCACCTGTGTGCATTTCCCAGCATCCCCAGTGTGTAGTCTATCATGGCTGTCTGTTATAGTAGTAATATGAGTTTGTCTTACTGATTCACATGTCAAAATCTTCCTCTTGGATTGGAGAAATTCTGGAATTTCTTTGAAATATTTGTTCTCCATGAGGTTTTCAAAGGACCTTCTCCAGTCTTCTCCATACAGTGCTGACAGCTTTTCAACAGCATCATGATAATCATCGTCTTCCTTGTCCTGATTTTTATTATTGCCAAGAAGCTGACGCTGAAATGACCACAACTCATCGTTCCACTCCTACAAAAATAGATGACAAGCAATTTATTGAGGTATGTACCCAACCTTAAACTGCAAGAACTGCAGTGTAACACATGTTATAGGTTTAAGTAAAAATCAGACTTTCAGAATTCATTTTACCTCCTTTGTGATGAACTCAATTTCTGCTTCATACTTTGTGCTACGTGTGTTGGCTTCCACTTTGATCATGACTGAGGTGCAGGCATTGATGCTTCCTGAGGGTAAAAGATTCTTCTCTTTGATGATGGCATTTATCAAAGAGCTCTTTCCAGCCCCAGTTTTACCAAAGACACCAACCAGCTCCCTCTTGTCTGTCTCCAAATCACTGATCTTTTTCCTGTTGAACAAGATTTTAAATATGGGTTAAACAATTCAGTCATGAAAACATTTTTAAACATGCTTTAAAAGTGAGAGTTTAAAAGAGAGTTATAATCATGGTAGTGATTTTTCAATGAATCATTACTAGTTTTATACACTGGTTCCACAAATTGTTTATTATATGTTGTTTTATTTTACTACTGAATTATTTCAGCATCTATAATTGACACAGACTGCTGTATGTCAGCAGTCTGTGTCATACAATCTGACACAAGAAAGGAAAGAATCTAAAGGGTTCATGTACAGGCAGCACGGTGGCATGATGTTTAGCACTGTTGTCTCACACCAACATCTGGCTGGGGGACTTTTTATTTTGAGTTTATCTCCATGTTTGCCTCGGTTCTCTCCCGGTACTCTGTCTTTCTCCAACAGTCCAAAGACGTGCAATTAGTACTGATTCTAAATCCTCATCAATGTAGTTACTCATTCCTGTGACTGTTTCTTGGTGTAACCAGTGTGACATCCATAAAGTGTGTTTGGACTGAATTATTTTAATTGTTGCGTTCATGTGAATATACTGCTTATTTTTGTGTAAGTCAAGACTCTTGAAAAGGGACCATCTTCTCTGTGTGACTCAATTACACATAACTAGCAGAAAGAGAGACGTTTGGATTTCTCAACGCCATCATTAAGACATTTTTCAAAGGCCGTAATGGTCTCTTCCATTTCTTTGTTGATATTTGCAAGTTGAAGGATCATGTTTCTCTCAAGTTCTGAACACACCTCACCTTTTTTATCATCCTGAAAAATATTTGAAGGAATAAAACTATAAAAAAAATACTTATTATTTCTTATAGATCTATAAACTCCACTTGGCTTTAAGTCACTCTACTGTAAGTAAAACAGAACGGCAAAAATACATGAATCAATTGATCACTTAATAACCTATAAATTAATACATAAAAAAACATAATAAGAAACACAAAGACATTTGAGAAATCCCAACATGTAAGATACTGAACTTCAGACATATGAGCCAACTGCCTGAGACAAAATAAAACTCCATTCTTTTGCCTTTAGGCATACAGTATTAATTTTAGTGACCTCCCATTAAGGTAACCAGTGTGTCACCAATTGGGGAAAAACAGTTAGAGACATGAATGGGTTAGCAATGTGCCCGGGGCATCTGTTTAATACTATGCTTCCTCCTCATCATCACCCAGTCATCTTGTTTCTCCGACTGCTCAGGACAATCTGCCAGAGGGAGCTAACGGGGCCTACGCTACCTTTAGCTGCACGGGCTAAAGAGGCCTGGCTAGCTATGGGATTTTTAAGGGTGTGAAGCAGAGTCTACAATTCTGTGATCCCGGCCTCCAGAGCTGCAGATAGGCTACATTTTTTGCAAGTATCATTATTGCTGAAGGAGGCTGAGGAGTAACTAAAAATCTGACACAATGAGCAGGAAAGTGCAGGAGGGACAGGTGAAAAGGCCATGCTGCTAATGAGTTGGCCATGGCCAAGCTAAGCTAGTGAACCACTGAAGACACAGTGAGTGAATGGTTGAAGATTACACCTTGAAATAGTTTAAGTTTTTAATTAAATTGGCTACCCAGATAAACTACACAAAAACACCACTTGTGTTGGAACAAGAAGTATACTAATGTAGAGAGAGCAAACACAAGTGACCCACTGGTGACAATGATTCACTGGCAGTAATTATATTTAATTGTATTAATTCTTAACTAATGTAGATTTTAATTGTTTTGATTGTGATAGGAAGAACAAAACTAAATCAGGAACATCATTTTTTTCCAAGTAGTTAAAAACAGTTTTTTTCCCTTCAGATTAATGTCCATAGACAAATATATGTTTAAGAGTTAATATTAAACACTGCTTTGCACTTTTTATCTGCAGCTTAAAGGAGCATGAAGAAGCAGCTGATGTGGTTCAGGTAAGGATTATACTGAATTCAGACATTGGCCAACTGCCTGAGACAAAGTAAAGCTCCATTCTCTGGTTTATAGAGATTGACCACTCTCTACAGAAGCCAATAAATGACTGAATCTAAAAACTTAATTCATAGGGGGTTGGGGAATATACATTTTACCCTAGCTAGGAGGTTTGCCAACCGTCTCTATAGCTCTTTGTGACTGGGACTTAATTATGCGAAAGAATGTCTCATAGTATCACCAATGTATAAGAAGAAGGTTATTTAATTTATTTTTCATCAGTCTGCTGGTTAATAAAAAATAACTGCATTTAAGTTTGTTGATTGTAAAACTTTATGTTAGTGTCCTTTAAATGCTGTTAAAGAGCAATGCCAATGCAAATAGTAATAATTCCTGTATAACTCATATTCATCCTCAGGTTTGCCATCCACAAGTGATACAGGTGAGACACATGCATCGTATTATTGCATCTGATATTATCTTGTTCAAAGCACAATATTTTTTGCAATCTACATAACTTTACTAAGAATAACTTTAAGTGCTGAGAGAAAACGTTTTTTTGTTCTTATTTTTTGTTGTTGTTTTTATCCAATCAGGAAAGAGAAAATCAGACCTTCAAAGTGACACCATCAGGTTGCAGTCACCAGCTAAGCGACAACGTCTGTCTGTGCCAGGATTTGAAGGTATTTAGGTTTCTTACTAAACAGTGTCACAGTTTAAGGGCTAAACCTCTGTGCAGCACAATTTGTCCAACATCTTTGATGCTAGAAGTTACTTTTTCTTTGGGTTTTTGTCAAAATTTAACAGTCACATGTTGCATGGTATATTAGGGTTGATTGGTAAATGGTCACATTATGGTCCTGATATACTCTAATTCACGCAGGTTTGCTTTCTTGTTAAACATGAGAATTTACATTTTCTGGTTATTCTAGTCTATAATTCCTTCTAAATAGTTCTTTACATTTATGCCAACAGAACCAGTCATACTGTCTGATGTGAAAAGCATCATGACATTTGTACATCCCAGACTAAATACCGTATTTTCACGACCATAAGACGCACCGTACTAAAAGGCGCAGTCTCAGTTATGTGTGCCATTACTGTATTTAACACACACATAAGGCGCACCTGATTATAGGGCGCCTACAATTATGCGTGTTTAAAAATAAAGCGGGAGCAAAACTGAGTTTGGTACTCACATTTTTATTACCGGTAATTGTCATCAATCAAACCCATCGAAGTCCTCATCCTCTGTGTCTGAATTGAACAGCTGCGCTAAATCTCCATCAAACATTCCAGGTTCACTTTCTTCACCGTCAGAGTCACTTTCCGTGCCGTGCGGCTCCTCGGAAATGATGCCGGCTTTTGCGAAAGCTCGAACAACAGTGCCAGCAGACATGTTAGCCCAAGCATCTACAATCCATTCGCAAATTGTGGCGTAACTCGCCCGGCGCTGCCTTCCACTCTTAGTGAAACTGTGGTCTCCATCGGTCATCCATCGCTCCCAGGCCGCTCGCAGCCTTACTTTGAACGGGCGGTTCACACCGATGTCCAGCGGTTGGAGTTCCTTTGTCAGGCCTCCCGGAATGACAGCAAGCTCACAGTTCATTTGTTTCACTAGTTTTTTCACATCGGCTGTGAGATGGGCACGCATAGAGTCACAGATCAACAGCGATGGTGATGCGTGGAAAAAACCACCTGGTCTCCTTACATACACCTCCCTCAGCCAGTCTTTCATCATTTCCTCATCCATCCAGCCCTTTTCATTTGCCTTAATGATGATTCCTGCTGGAAACTTCTCTTTAGGCAAAGTCTTTCGCTTAAAAATCACCATAGGCGGCAGTTTCTGTCCATTAGCATGGCAGCCAAGCACAACAGTAAAAGAAGACTTTTCGTGCCCCGTTGTGCGTATCGCTACCGTGCTGGTCCCCTTCTTCTCCACAGTGTGACTCACCGGGATGTCAAAAGTGAGCGGGACCTCGTCCATGTTTGTGATGTGGCTGGGCTGGATGTTTTTGTCGCCGATGTGTTTGCTGCAGTAGGAGCGGAAGATGGCCAGCTTTTCCTTATAATCCGCTGGAAGTTGCTGCGCTACCGTAGTCCTGGTCCGGATGGAAAAATGGCACCGTTTCATAAAACGAAAGCACCAAGACGGACCTCCTTGGAAATGTTCAATTTTCATTTCTTCTGCTAGCGAAACCGCTTTTAGTCGAATGGTGACCGTCGAAACGCTTCTCCCGCTCGTTCTTTGCTCGATGATCCACCGCTCGAGTCTTTCCTCCAACTCGGGCCACCTCGCCTTATGTCCGCGGAAACTCAGCTGCGTTTTCTTGACCTGCCGGAGCTTGTTTTCCAGCTTCCTCCACTTGCGAACCATCGATTCATTAATCTTAAATTCTCTCGGCTGCTCGATTCCATTGTTCCTCCGCGTAGCCACTGACTGGCCTTCATTTAAACTGTGCTTCATAAGCGTGTCTCTTTCCAATTTTCAGGGTTGTTAAAACAACGATGTTCCACATAATGTCACATACCTGTCCTTTTATACAGGTATGTGCAATTGTCCCGGTATATACGATAACGCCACCACCGTCCTTAACAGGTCGATCTTTACGACCGCCCACATTCACTTAGCGTTCTCATGGTGTTCTCTACTACGTCCTCCTTACAACACACAGGGCGCACTGCACTATAGGGCGCGCCGCACTTTTTAAAGAAAATCTAAGGCTTTTATGTGCGCCTTATAGTTGCGAAAATACGGTATTTGTTTTAAATAGTTTTTTCCTTTCTTTGTCCACAGAATCAATCATACTGTCTGATGTGAAAAGCATCATGACATTTGTACATGAAAGACTAAATGACCAAGACAAACTCAGTGATTTCTTAAAGTGAGTATTAAGTTTTTTCATATTTTGTCTCAGCGTCTCCATTGCCGAAGCTGCTGCATTGAGCTGCGGCCGCAAGGTGGTTGGTGCCTGCCGTGGTGGTAATCCCCGAACCAAATGGTGGACACCAGAGGTGAAGGGAGCCACCAGGCTGAAGAAGGAGTCCTATCGGGCTTGGTTAGCCTGTGGGACTCCGGAGGCAGCCGACAGGTATCGACAGGCCAAGCGGAATGCGGCTCGGGCAGTGGCTGAAGCAAAAACTCGGGTGTGGGAGGAGTTCGGAGAGGCCATGGAAAAAGACTTTCGGACTGCCTCGAAGAGATTCTGGCAAACCGTCAGGCGTCTCAGGAGGGGAAAGCGGTGCTCTACCTGCACTGTGTATAGTGCTGGCGGAGCGCTGCTGACGTCGACTGAGAAAATTGTCAGGCGGTGGAAGGAATACTTCGAGGACCTCCTTAATCCCACTGACACGTCTTCCGAGGAGGAAGCAGAGTCTGGGGATGAGGGGAATGACCCGCCAATTTCCGGGGGCGAGGTCACTGAGGCAGTTAAACAACTCCTTGGTGGCAGAGCCCCTGGTGTTGATGAGGTCCGCCCCGAGTTCCTGAAGGCTCTGGACGTTGTAGGGCTGTCCTGGTTGACACGCCTCTGCAATGTTGCGTGGAGATCAGGGGCAGTACCCTGTGACTGGCAGACCAGGGTGGTGGTCCCCATCTTTAAGAAGGGGGACCGGAGGGTGTGTTCCAACTACAGGGGGATCACACTCCTCAGCCTCCCTGGGAAAGTCTATGCCAGGGTGCTGGAAAGGAGAGTTCGTCCGCTAGTCGAACCTCGATACAGGAGGAACAATGCGGTTTTCGTCCTGGTCGCGGAACACTGGACCAGCTCTTTATCCTCTCAAGGATACTTGAGGGTGCATGGGAGTTTGCCCAACCAGTCTAGCATGTGTTTTGTAGTTACTTTGTAGAGAAGGCATTCGACCGTGTCCCTCAGGTGTCCTGTGGGGGGGTGTTGCGGGAGTATGGGAGTGTCTGGCCCATTGCTACAGGCCATTCGATCCTTATACAACCGTTGCAAGAGCTTGGTTCGCATTGCCGGCAATAAGTCGGACTCGTTCCCGGTGGGTGATGGGCTCCGCCAGGGCTGCCCTTTGTCTCCGGTTCTGTTCATAATTTTTATGGACAGGATTTCTAGGCGCAGCCAAGTGGCGGAGGGCTTTCGCTTTGGTGGCCTCAGAATCTCATCTCTGATTTTTGCGGATGATGTGGTTCTGTTGGCTTCATCGGGTGAGGGCCTCCAGCTCGCACTGGAACGGTTCGCAGCCGAGTGTGACGCAGCGGGAATGAGGATCAGCACCTCCAAATCTGAGGCCATGGTTCTCAGCCGGAAAAGGGTGGAGTGCCCACTCCGGGTCGGGGATGAGTTCCTGCCCCAAGTGGAGGAGTTCAAGTATCTCGGGGTCTTGTTCGCGAGTGATGGGAGAAGGGAGCCGGAGATCGACAGACGGATTGGGGCTGCAGCTGCAGTAATGCGGACGCTGCACCGGTCAGTCGTGGTGAAGAGGGAGCTGAGTGTAAAAGCGAAGCTCTCAATTTACCGGTCGATCTACGTCCCTACCCTCACCTATGGCCACGAGCTGTGGGTAGTGACCGAAAGAACGAGATCGCGGATACAAGCGGCAGAAATGAGCTTCCTCCGAAGGGTGGCTGGCCTCTCCCTTAGAGATAGGGTGAGAAGTTCGGCCATCCGGGAGGGGCTCAGAGTAGAGCAGCTGCTGCTCCACATCGAAAGGAGCCAGCTGAGGTGGTTCGGGCATCTGACAAGGATGCCCCCTGGGCGCCTCCTGGGTGAGGTGTTCCAGGCATGTCCCACCGGGAGGAGGCCCCGGGGCAGACCCAGGACACGCTGGAGAGATTATATCTCTCGGCTGGCCTGGGAACGCCTTGGTATTCCCCCGGATAAGCTGGAGGAGGTGGCTGGGGAGAGGGAGGTCTGGGCCTCTTTGCTTAGGCTGCTGCCCCCGCGACCCGGCCTCGGATAAAGCGGATGAAGATGGATGGATGGATGGATATTTTGTAATGTATGGGCCTGGTTCCACTCCTGATCATGTGACAGTTTCACAAACAGATCAAAGAGAGATTGTGTTTGAAGAAACCAAAAATGCAGAAAATATCTGTAAAACATCCTCAAAAA